ACGAGGACTGTCCCGACGGGGCGGGGCCACCACCGCCCAATCCCTGTTGCAGCGCTCTATCTCTGTCCTGTTGACCACCGCCTGCGCTTCCGCACGCGAACTGACGACGCCCGCCGCCTAGCGATTGCGGTTGATCTACCTTTAATTTAATAATAATAGTAAATAATAATACTGTACAACTATAACAACAATAATAATAACAATCAATTATAATAACTAACAATAATAAAATAAAATGACAATAATAGTAAAAATAATTACAGTAATAATAAATAACAATAAAAAATACTAAATAAAACTAAAACCCATACACTATTCAACGATTGATTCTTCCTGGATGCAGTTGACACGACCAAATTCGCAGCCACGGCCGCACGAGCTTTTTGGTTTTCAATTTGTGACTGTGTCAGACCGGGTGCGGACGAGACTGAGGATAGACCACCGCCGCCCCGGGCTGAATAACGACCGTCTTGCGATTGACGTCCGATGATGGTCGGTCGTCCCGAGGACGCACCCATTCCTCTGCGATCCAGTGAGGCACGACCCTCGTATGGACCACGTTTCTTCTCGTACTGAATTATATTTATCACTATCATAATAATAAACAATANCGACCCTCGTATGGACCACGTTTCTTCTCGTACTGAATTATATTTATCACTATCATAATAATAAACAATATTAAATAATAATAACGAACAATAAATAATAAAAACAATAATAAATAATTAGAATTAACAGTAATAATAATTTCAAATCTTCATTTTTTTGCACTAGTTCTACTATGCTTTCACCATACCATAATGACAACAACAATAATAATAAATAATAATAATAACTATTAACAGCAACTATTACAACAAATAAAAATAACAATAATAATTAAATAACAAAAACAATAGATAATAACGTTTGAATTAATAGCAATTCTAAATCTTCGCTTGTTTTAAATACTTCCACTTTACTTTTTACTTACAATTGACTCTATCCTATTCATAATAAATAACAATAATATATCACAATATATAATAATAATAATAATAACAATAATAATACCAATACCAAAAACATTAACAACCTGTTCACGCTGCAGTTTATTCATCAAGTCCTCCTTTCGTGCCTCATTATGCACCTGCTCGATCGTTTTCGGACCCGAATCTGCCGACTTCCTCGGGTTCCATTCGTTCTTAAAACAACATCCACATTACTTTCTCACAAAACAAAACAACAAATAAATACTAAAAACAATAACGAAACAACAACAAAAAACACCCCAAACCACTCACATTCCTC